CCCCTTCAGTCTGTGGTGTGATTATAAGAGCACTAGCATTGTACCCAGATCTAGAAGAAAATTTTATACTGAGGAAACCCGTAGACATTACCTGCTTTTGGGGTTAGAGAATTATTTATGTTCATTCTTACTATCCCCTTGAAAGGAAAGGTCAAATGGGAAATGGTGAATCCAAATGCCACATGTCCCAAGTCCCTAAGAAATGCTATAGCTAGAGTTTTTGTTATGTCACTGGCCATAGCTAACAACAGTCTTTTTCCTTAGAGTTCTCTGTGGCTACCTCAGAGAGAAAGCCAACATGTTAAGGATCCCTTCTTGTGCACCAATCTTAGGCTAACTCTAGTTTTCTCAAGAGTCTTTGTTTAACTCAAGGATATAGTTCCCTTTGAAAATACAACTTCATCTATCAAAAAATAGAATTCTGATAGATTTTGGATTTAGTTGATCCCTTGAGAGCTCATTTAAATATTTCTTAACTGAATTCAGTTTTATCTTGTATTAGAACCTGCTACAAGTAGGCTTGTACTCCCCCAAAACTAAACTCTAGAGAATAAATACCAAGGGACTTAAAGTAGGAATATGCAAGTTGATGGTTTCCTCTCTCTCTCTTTTTTTTAATATGTTAAAGGTGTAGTGTTTGTGACTTGGGAATTAAATCTGGTAGCATCCTGACAAGAAATGATGGAAAGATAGGTTAAGAATAGGAGTCTGTACCTTTCCAGAGGAGGCAGGGAATGCAACGAAATCTCCAACGCAAAATTCCTGTATTTCACAGTACTATGATATCTACTGTTAGGAAATTCTGTTTTTCTTTAACTTCTAGGGCTCATACAAAAAGAAACTCTTCTGTTGGATATGGGTTGCTGGACCAAATACAGGCACAAGATTCTTCCCTTGCCTTCTCATGCATAGCTGAGTCAGGTCAAAAGCATTTTAAACAGACTTCTTTAAAGACTAGGTCCTTAAAGCAGAAAATACCATAGAGCCAGGTAATCAGTACTTGGGACACAGCTTCTTACTGTGGCCCTTAGTGTCTTCGCTGTGGTGCCCTCAGAGGAAGGTTGAGACCCTGCCTGGGTTCTTGAAGTCTGCCCCTGGGCTTGCCTCTTTATCAGGGCACCATTGTAACATTCACATTTAAGAATTCCCTCCCAGACAACAGTTTTCTCAAAGTTCAAGCCAAGAATTTCTCTATCCAATGATCTACTCTTTAAATTTTTATTTAAAGATATCCTGCTTTGCCAAACACTGCCATTAGACACTTTACATACTTACCACTTTTATGTCCTATAAGGTCTGTGTTACTGACCTCATTTTATAGAGAAGGAAACAAAAGTTTAAAAAGGCTTAAAGCATTCCCCCAACCCCCCGCCCCCACCAAAAGTGACACAGCTGATTAAATGATGGGCTGGGCTACAAACCTGGTTCTTTTAAACTCCAAAGCATGTTCTTCAAAACTCTGTAGTGCCTTTTAATTTTAGAGTGCTATCCTCGGAGGGTTTAGATTTTATTTTATTGAAGAAGACAAAATCTGTTTTCACCCATAATATTATAGCTCCTAGAAACTTCTGCACAGAAACATCCTGTTCGGAACAGTGTTCAGGATCCAGTCTTTGTTAGTAACTAGAAGACAGCTAACATAGGGAAGGGAGGAGAATTTTGGAAACCAACTATTACCGTAGGGCTCATTTGGACAGCATTCATCTTCACCAGAAATGGCCAATCTGTCGCATATCGGCCTTCCTTAGCACTGTTTAAGTTTTAATTACCTGCCAACTGTCTGCGCTGCTTTTGAGCACCTGAGAGAGAACAAAGGATAGTTGTTGTATTTTTCAAAAGTATTCTCTCTAAACACTAATGAAGTCACTAGCTGTCACTGCCCTTATTATCAGGTTAAATCTGAGTCTGTGCATTGGAGAGATGGTGTTGAAAGGAAAAAAAATCTTAAACTTTGCCTCTTATTTAAAATCTTTTGTGACAGAAAAAAATGCGGTGTCTACATCTTCTGTTTAAGTGTTATGACCCAGAGCAAGTTTTGCTTTGTTTTTTTCAATAACAGTAAAGAAGACAGGACTCTCTCCCATCCCCATCCCTTGGATTTTTACCATCTCAAGTAGTAATAACGTCTCTTCTGCCTCAGCGAGGCTCCATTGTGAGCCCCATCAAGACAATCTGCGCTGCCTCCCTCTCCGTTTAGACACTACTCATGGATCAGGGCACTCCTCCCCCTGAGATGTGCAGGGCCTCTGCGTTCTTAATGTAGAGCTCCAGTCACAGAAGCTGGGGGCTCATTCAAAGCTTATTTGCTAGCTCTAGGCGAGATCTTCAGTTAAGGACAGAATCCTATGCTCAGCAACTCCTTGCTGGGGAAAAGGAGCATCATTTCTTTCTTGTGACTTTGTTACCATTTTTTAAATGTGTATTTTAATAGGGGCTTTATGCCATTTTTGTAAATTATGCTATAATTTTGTGGAGTCTTAGAAATAGAATAATTAAACTTGTTATGAGCATTACATATAACAGACTAATCAAGAAGTGGGATATACATGCAGTGGTGAATTGCTAATTTGACCTCAGGATGATACAGCAAAGATAACATTATCTTCATTTATATAGAACTTTTTATCTGGAGGCATCTCTCCGTGCTTTTCCAACCAAATGTATTATCTTTCTCGTTATCACAAGCACTATCATTAAGGCTGTAAAATGTATTCCAGTACAATTTTTGTTTTCAGTTTCTTATAATTGGGGAACAAGGCAGGGGGTAAAATTTGGGAAATGACTGTGAGATCTTGGTTCTGTATAATGTTTAAAAAAGAAAGAAAGGAAGAGGGGATCATTACTATATCTCCTAGTCAGCCAGCCTCTTAACCTTAAGAACTGGCAATGGGGAAAGGTCCTATTAATCACTTCCTGGCTCCTCTGTCTCACACAGTATTTGGGGAGATGTCTCTCCTTTGGTAGAGACTCGAGCTAGGGAACAGGAAAATGATCTGATCAAATTCCACCAAACCACACTCCTTTCATTACCTCCAAGGTTGCAGACAGCAGCACTCAGCCTGTCAGAGCCATAAGCAGTTGAAAATGCTATGCTGGTTGAGGTTCTGTGGGTTTAAGGAAATGGACAAAATTAGATTCAGGCCAAGGTGCCAGGCTCAATGCACTCTGCCCCTTCCAGAAAGCCTGGAGACAGTGTCACCATCAGCAGTAAAAACAACACAGCCTGTTCTTATAGACCATATAGGTTTTAAACAATATTTTATTTATTTAGTTTTAGAGAAAGGGGAAGGGAGGGAGAAAGAGAGGGAGAGAAAGATCAATATACAAGAGAAACACCAGTTGCCTCTCGCACGCCCCCAGCCAGGGACCAAACCTGCAACCCAGGCATGTATCCTGACCAGGAATCAAACCAGCGACCTTTCAGTTTGTGGGATGACTCTCAACCCATTGAGCCACACCGGTCAGGGCTAGAATTTATTTTGAAAAAACTCCAGCTACCCACCCAAACCCAGTAAATTTGGTATCTTCTGTCTGCCTTGTGGGCTCGAGAGAGCAGATCAGGGCCAACTTCCTGCTTCACCAGAGGGTTCAGATGATGGACCAGTTGCCCTGACTCTCCACACAGGAAAAACAGTGTCACCCTGCAGTGGGTGTAGGCATGCTGAACACAGTCCAGGAGATAGCATTTATATTGGTTATGAAGACGAGTGATCAGCTCATCTCAAGGAGCAGATGGCTAAATGAGGTGCACAGGGAATGCTGTGAGATTCAGGCTTGAAGAAACAGGAGGGAAAATACCAGTGATATAAAACACCCAAATCTCCTTAATGTGAATTTTTTAAATCAGCATTTACGTTATACAGTTAACTTGGAGTGATGAGAAATGTAAGGAAATTACAAAATTAGTGAACAGCGATTAACTCAGAAGTAAAATTGTATCATCTAAATCGGAGGTTGTTTTACACAGTGTAGAGAGGATATTGCTAAACCCTGGCCCAGTCTGTCATCTCCTAATTGAAATCTGTTCGTTTAATATGTCTTCTCCTGTAGAGCACATAGTTCATAATTTGGAAGAGCGTTATCAGTTAACCTAGTTATTTTTCCTGGTTCTTCCTTTGAATTCCAACAAGAATGTGACACATTCCCCGTGGATTTGTGTGACACTCAGAAGAATGAGTTTGTCTGTTCATTAACCTGTGAACTGTCAGGTCCCTTTGGAGAGTGAAAGGAGCAAGTCACTCTAAGGTTAATGCTTATGTGTTGGAGGTGAAGCCTCCAGGGAGATACAGAGGGAACAGGCCAAGATGCTCAAGACCAGCCCTGTGAAACGCTGCACTGTGTGCAGATGCCAGCTCCGTGTGGCCAGGAGGGAGGCTGCAGAGCAGGCTGGGTCACCTCTGCACATTACTTCCTCAGGTCAGGAGAGGCTTCCCAGCAGTCAAGTGGGGGGCTGGGGTAAGTATAAAGGGTTAACTTCCTAACAAGGATTTGGGAGCATTATTAAAATACAAGAAGCTGTGAGTCATTTCCAGTAGTTTCTGTGGATTTTTCTTTTAAACAAGAAAGCAATATTGATTTCATGCATTTGTCTCCAATGGATGAAATCTTTCATTGAGTTGGAAAGCATTTGATTTTGCGTGTGTGTGTGCACCTGTGCACAGGCACATTCCTAACCACAAGGTGAAGATCGAAGCTGTTAGTCTCCAGCGTAAATGTCTCATGGACATATAATTGTACTGACATTCAGGGTTTGAGCTGAACAGTACCTGGCTTAGTTTTCTAGGTAAATCAAATCTAAGTTTTACATAATTCTTTGAAAAGTTGTATCTCCCTAATTTTGCTAGCCCTAAGGAGCAGAGTCCGAAGTCAAATTCAAAGTCTCCTTTATTCCATGCCCTGGTACAGTGTATTTTATGTAATATATCTTATTCTACTACTTTTGGATTGGTTGTGATGGAAGCTCATTTTCTTCAACAAATTTTCTTTTCTTTTTACGCCAGGTATATTCGAATAGTTGGGACTCACAACACAGTGAACAAGATTTTTCACATTGTGGCTTTTGAATGTATGTTTACAAACAAAACCTTCACTCTCGAGAAGGGCCTGATAGGTAAGTATTACAACTGCATTTTGTACATATACTTCGATATTTTATCTTCACGTATTTAGTTATTCCATTAACTGATTTAAACTCATTTCTTAATCAGCTTTGACTAAGAAGTCTGATGGATTCGAATGGCATATGGCTGAGTGACATAAGGGAAGGCTTATATTTTTAGAAATAGTCAAAATAATTATTCCAGTAAACTTAAAAGAATATAAATATTTTACTAGTAGTTAAGAATGGTGATTCAGTGAGGTTTGCTATGTGGGGAATGTTTATGATAGTCGGGCAAAGCCCTTCACACTGAAGGCTTTTCTGTGTTTAACGGTGGATAAGATCAGGAAGTCTGTGTAATATTGATCTAGTGCTCATACTTCCTAAGACTGTACCGGTATTTTTGGCTTTGACTTAATATGAACGTATCTTCTTTTCATGGACACATCAGTCCATATCCAATTCACCTCAAGAAGATGCCTACATATAATTTGAATAAGACCAGAGTAACTGAATTGTCATTGTAAAAGTCAAGTTACCTTGTAAGAAATAATTCCTGACTGATCTTTCAAAAGGATGTTTTTAATTTTTGTTTAGTTATTTGTCTGGTTTCTTTCTGTTGTGTTTTCTGTTTGTTTTAGTTTCAGATACTGTTTAGTCTGGCATTGTGTATAGTCCATCCAGGTCTTGACATTCTAGATATCATGAGTGACTTTTTCTTTTTTTTCCTTCTTCTATGCCCAGAGGTTTTTAATTAGCTCTTGCAAGGATCATAGTTTGACTAATTAGTGTTAAATCTGTGCCTTTACTGTAGCTTCTCTGAACTTGCACTCTGTGTGTTCAGGTTGGGGGGAAAAGATGCCCCTGCCTCGGTGTACCTAAAAGTAGAATTCTTTGCCTTTACAAAGGGACTCATCTCCCCTCTCTTTCTCAAGTCCTATCCATGCTGGGACACATAACATAGTGACAGATGTCCTAAAACATTGTGATGACTAGATTGGGGAAGATGACTGTAACTTGCAAATGTTTTCTAATTCTTTGGTCATAAGTCTGAATTTTCCTAATACTTACTGTGCCCTAAATGTAATCCTTTACCTACAGAAATTTAAGAAAGTAATATTATAAAGTAGTGGGAATGGAAATTATTCCAACATATAGAGAACTTTTAGAGATCAACTAAAACAAGTAATTTGGTTTTAAATTTGTTATAGATATGATTTTTAATATTAAATATGTTAAAGATTTTTGTGACTTTTAAGTAATTTGAAAGTTAACAGTACTGAAGCATTACCTGATATTATCAAGGCTTTTGATTTTGTGGGCTGTGTGGAATATTGATGATGGGGGTATGGGAAGGGGCACAGGCCCTCCCAGGTCCTTTTGTAGACTGTAGACCTCACAGTGCATGTAGTTATGCGAGTCTTCACTGAGAAGGATCTTGGAAAACCAGACCACCTTCATAATCATAAGATGTGAAGCATTTGTCTACTCATTTCAGCCCAAGTGCACCGCAGTTTTAAACGTGCTGCATACAAGGTGCCACCTACTTAAAAAAGGCCCTCATTTTTATTGGAGAAAGAACAGGTTTGTGGACACTGTAATTATCAAAGAAACAAGCCCATCTGAAATAAGAGGTAATTATAGGAATGAAACTCCGGATTACTTGTAGTGAGGGGTGCTGTTCTCGGTCTGTGTGTTTTGTCCACACTGAACCAGTCAGCATTATCAGAAGCCATAATAGTGTCAAACATGTCAGGGGGTGAGAGAAGACTGCAGGTATGTAAAAACTGTTTTTAGTGGTCAAAACACTTTTTGTTGAGGCCTTTGCTATGGTGCTCACAATTCTAACTGCAGAGAACACTGCAGTCATCTCTCTGTCATCATCCCTCAGCCCGATGGAAGCAGTGGTGCAGGTAGGCAGGTGTGTGGTGCATGTGTGGGCAGATGACCAGCAACGGGATCCCCCTGGTCCTCCTCCTACCGTCCTCTCAGCTCACAGCTGCCCCAACGCTGGGCAGGCAGGGAGGTGTGTGAGTCCTGAGGGAGTGCATATCTGACATGGCAGATCTGCTTAAAGGGGTGTTTGAAGTAGTAATGGCCAGCTTTCCACGTTGATGATCTCAGGTGCATTTTGGCTGAACACAGGCCTCAGTCAGCTACCCTACAGGGAGCTCCGAGGAAGGAGTGGTCCTCTACCGTGGGCACAGTGTATGTCAGAACCACCTGGAGTTACTTTCAAGTTGTAGCACCAACTGCTTACTTCTTCCTTCGCCTTGTGAGATATGCACTCCACCTTTGAGAACCCCTCAAATAAAATCCAGATTTTCATAGGAAAAAAAAGAATAAAACTAAAAGCAAGTCATCATGAATAACTAATAAGGTATCAAACCCTACTTAGCTGTATTCAAGATTCAGAACTTTCTTTGACAGTTCCTGGTCTTTGTTTCATAGTATAAGCTACTCTAGTTAGAGTAGTACTCTTCTTATAGGCCTTAAAATTACTTTTAAAATGTTTGTGTTGTCTTTTTAAGTCAAATTTTAATGTTATTACGTAAAATGTGTAATGATGCCAGGAAAAACAGAAATGAAAACAAACTACATTTGCTTTTATGAGATTTTAGTCTTCTCCTACCAAAGGGTGTTTCCCCCATTTTTGTTGGCAGCATGTCATTCCTCATGCTGTTTCACTTATACAGAGGCTTGGGAACCGAGTGGATTCCTATATCCATGGGAATTCCGACCACATTAACCCTTAAATCTGTGCGTCAGACTCTCCTCAGAGCATTCTCCTACCTCATCTGCACCTTCCTGTGGTGGCTGCTTCAGGATTGTACTGGGTTATATTCTCATCCAGGAGAGTCAGCCAGTGACAACGGTCTCCTCTTTGTTAGGAGGCGTATATAAGGTGCTTGAACCAGTGGAGCTTGGAAGGAATAATCAGAATAGATATGATTGCTGTTTTATAAGCATTCAACCTTCCAAAGAATGTGTTTGCTTTGCCTTGGCACTCCACTTTGTGATGCACAGATGGCATTTGCCAAGTCCTTCCACTCTTTCATAATCATTGCCAAAACTTCCTTTGCATTCTACCTCACACTTAAATTTACTTCTTTGAATACCCTATTAGTTATTCAGATAGAGAGACTAGTACCCACCACCCAGGTTAAAGAACTATCAACTCACAGACAACTTCTTTTTATCTGTGTACTACCTACTTCCTCCCCGTCAGATTATTTTGAAGCCTATCCCAGATAGTTTATCGTCTTATCCACAAATATTTCAAAATGAATCTCTAAAAGTAAGGACTCCTTTTTTGTAGCCATAATCACAGTATCATTATAATACCCTAAAATTGAACAGCAATTCTTAATGAGTATTTAATATTCAGTGTTCAAATGTCCCTAATTGGATGAATGAAAGTCTGGAATTAATCTTTGTGTTTTTACAGGTTCTTTAAATCAAAATTCACATAAAGTCCAAACCGTCAATAAATAGCTGTTATGAGTCTCAAATGTCTTTAAATATATAGGTTCCCTTTTCTCTCTGCCTCTTTCTCTAATTACAATTTATTTGTTGAAGAGACTAGGTTTTTATTCTGTAGCGTTTCTAACAGCCTCTATTTTGTTGATTAAATCCCCATGGTAATGTTTGATATGTTCCTCTGTTATATTTCTTGTAACTTGGTAAAGGCTTACTCTGATTCAAGTTTTATTGTTATTTTTTATTTTTGTAAGAATGCCCTATAGGTGGTAGAATATGTGTCTGTCAAGAAACACAGGAAATCTTTGGTTGTCCCTTTTGGAAATTCAGTCCCGTTTATTCAAAATTACAAAATAGTTAACAGCCAATTCTGTCATTTCTTCTTCATTTAGTAGCTAGAAAGAGGAAATTTTTCTCTATACTCATTTGGTTATCCTGAGATGCTCTTTGCCCAGGAAGAGAAGGATAAATGTTACATTTTTTTCTTCTTATTTACCAGTTTTCAAAGTGAAGAGGTGTTTACTAGCATCCTCAGAGGTTGATGAATGAGGTTTTTTTGTAGGGTTTTTTTTTTTTTTGAGGGAGAATACATATTATTTTGAATTTATGGGATTAAATAAATTAGACATCTTTTAATCACTTGCAGTTTCACCTTTTGTTCTTTCATCTACTTTTTTCCATGCTGAAAATCTTGGTTACCAATGATATGGCACAGTAATTCATTGCCTTTATACCCAGTACATACCAAACAGTCTCAAATTATAGTACCCATACAACCGTGTACCATTTACTGAAAATAGTTTAAGATTTTTGCAATTAGTTTTTGGGACTTTAGGGCATATCCACTAGAGATATATAGTAAAATTACTGTGCTCTAAAGTCACTTAAAATAATTCTCGGTGTGATCATGCCACTATTTCAGCATACATTTCAGTTTGATTCATTTGTTTCATTTCACTTTCAATATTTAGTGATTGTCTTCAAAATGCTTTTTCTCTTATAACTATGTAAAATATATACATGGTTTCTAAATCAAATTTACAAAAGAGCTGTATTTAGAGAAATCAAGCTTATATTCCTGTCCCCCTCTACTCCTGTAGGTAACCTCTTTTTCCTTTTAGTTTTTTGGGTTGTTCTTCTATTTTTAAAAAAGGAAAATAAGTAAATATAACATATTTTGTATCCTCCCCAACATTGGTAGCATACTATATTCTATACGTACTTTCTTTTTTCACCTTTCTTTTTTGTATTTAACACTAGAGCTAGCTATATAGAAAGATATTACTGATTCATTTTTGTAGGTGCATGGTAGTCATTAGTGTAGACGTACTGCAGTTTATTCAACCAGTTATTTATTGATGAACGATTTAGGTTGGTTTCAATCTTCTGCTACTACAAATTGTGCTTTTGCCTTGTGCATGTCATTTCCTATTTTTTGCTAATATATCTTTGTGATCCAAGAAGAGAGTTACATGAAGAGAGTAAATGCAAGGATAATTTTACTAGATGTTGCCAAATTCATCTCTGTGGGG